TCTGAAACAGCAGCTCTTGATCAATGAGAACTGCTTCTGAAAGAGAGAGGCTAATGTAATGAGCTGCGCTCAATCAATCATATAGACTATTCTGTTACACTTCACAGATTTCAACCACTGTGCCATGAACATGTACACTCTGATTCTCAGTCATTCTCAATTGCTGATCCTCAGCCACTATGAATGTGTATAGATTCTTCCGCCCCGAAGCTCCATTACATACACCATCACATATATGTATAAATATTCACTTTGATCACTGATTCTCACACTTTCTCTTTCTTTTCCTTCTCTAATGTTTTTCTCTTTGTTATATAAGACCTATCAATATAATACCGATCTATTCAGCGTAGGCCTCTTACAAAAACTGAGTTAATTCATTTCTTTTCTAGATTCAATGAGCAAGAACTATCTCTAACTCTTTTAAATAGAGAGATTAAACCCAGTTTAAATGTCAAATGATTAGAAGTATGGTTAAATTTCAAGTTGAATTTTAAATATTATATTCAACAAAGAACTGTTAAGGCAGAAAGACTATTGAATAACATAATCAGACTATTAAATACAGAGAGAGATCTATTCTTCCAGACTATGAGACAGTTATATATAGCCTGTATTACCTCAGTAGCTGATTATGAAGTTCAAGTTTAATGAAATAATCAAGGAAATTTCACTGAACTCTTTCAAAGTCTGTAAAACAGAGCTTTGAGAAGAATTCTGAGAGTATTCAAATCATCTTCTATTAAAGTAATAGAAATTGAAGCTTCAATTCTCTCTTCTGCTATTAGATTTGAAAAGGCCTGTATAAACTATGCTCTGAGAGTTATAAAGATGAGCTCAAATCATATAATCAGAGATAGACTGATCGTGTGACCGTGTCTGAGACCAGGATCAAACTTTACAGTTATTATATTGCCTAAAAGCATTACTTCTGATCATTGTTTATATTTATCACATTGATCTCAAATCACATTATTTTAAATATTAAAGGTCTCAGATTCACTTTTCAAATAAAAATCTGATTTCAGATAAAGAATATATTTAAATTCTTAGTTATATTTTCATTCTGATCTCATTATTGAAAATGATATTAAATGAGATTATGAAATTATTTCTCACTTATATAATATCATAATATAGTGCTCATTTGTTGAAAATTTAATAGAGAGTATTATTAAATATCATTACTTTTCTGAACACAGATTATAATTCATATAATTTTAATTATGAAAAAAATATAAAATACAAAAAAAAACAAAAAATAAAAAACAAAATAAAAATAAGAAAAAATCACAATGAAAAAAAAAAAGAGAAAGAAAAAAAAAAGAAAAAAAAAGAAAAAAATAAAAAAGAAAAATAAAAAAAATCAAGATTGCAGAGTCACAGTATTCTTAAAATACTCACTTTTCAGAGTCTTTGCAATATTTATTATCAACTGTGTATCTCTTACAGTGAGAATAACACAGCTGTAATAAGTTATTATCTTAACATTATCTAATAAATAATCAGTATATATCTGTATAAATGTGAATAATTAGAAAATATACACTTAAAAAGTGTGATCAGAGTAAACTCTGCTGTCACTTGAATAATATCAAGAGTAGAATACTGAAATCAATGATTTCTCTTATTAATTGTATAAATAAGATATATAAAGATGATCTTGAGAAATATAAGATCTTCTGACTTCTGATAAAAATGAATCTCATGAAGAGACTCTATTTTTATAATATCAGAGACTGAGTGTTATTAAAAAGTGTTACTTTCATATAATGTACATGCACTTACTACAGTAATTCACTCTCTGTATATATAGTTAAGAGTTATAACTTTCTTATACTGTATAACTCTTTCTGAGATGCTGCTGTCAGTTTGTAACTCACACAGTCTCTCAGTTCAGTATATACTGTATGTATACAGTTCTATATGCTGAAGCTGTATTGATTATTATGATCTGACATGATACTTACTTTTCACAGGCTATGTTTCATTTGATGAGAGGAAAGAAAGATATAACTGTTGTTTTATTAAAAGAGAAATGAATAATTAGTATTATTGAATATAACTTAATTCATCTGTATTTAAAATTTGATTAGTCTATACTCTTCAATTTGAGAATTTCTAGAAGTGTTTTAATCATTTTCATATCATCTTGAACGTAGTGATGAGTTGAAAAAGAAGAGAAAGAAGAGAAGAAAGAAATAAGAATAACTTATCTTTATAATATAAAAATAGAGAATTACTATAATTATTCTTTCTAGTAACAAAGATCTGTTTTCTGCATGTATCTCTAATATAGATTATATAATAACTGTATATAAAGAATATCAATAGTATTATTATTATTATTCTTCAATTATAGATGTATGCAGTCAGAGACTATGACATTTACTTGAGAACCTTTAGATCTCAGAGTTTTTCCTATATCTATAGATTTAACTATTATACATTTATCAATTTCAGATATGTAAAATCAGAAAATTCCAGATCAGAATATAAAAACTGTTTATAAATTGCAGTATATCAACACCTTCTGATACTTTGAAATCATTTGAAAATATCATGACAAAGAAAAAGAGAACATAGTCTTAAAGATAGACACATTAAGTAGATAGATAGAAAAGAACAGAAAGAAACAAGTACAGTAAAGAGAGACTATAACAAAATAAAATTATTAAAAGATAGTATATAGCTGTTTTAACAGACTATATCTAATCAATTTCCATCTTTTCATATTGAGATACTTCTGAATTCAGCTATTTTCTTGTAGTGGCTTGAGTTTCTGAAAGAAAGTCTATTAAGTATTTAATTCCTGTCTCAGTTGAGAATAATAACCTCATATTTAATTGATTGAAATCATACTTCTTCTTTAATCTGACTCTCAGACTATTATATAATGCACAGTGTATTACAATATACTCAGAATTCTCATTTACATTGCAGAATGAGTATTCTATTGAATCAAATCTATCATTAAATCTTTGTATGTAAGATTTGAAATAGCCATGTTCTAGTTTCAGCTGTATTATAGATGAAAATATTTTCTTTTTACATTTAATTAAACAAGATTTTCACTTAGGTTTTATTTCAAATCTTGAATAATGTATACTCTTCTTTTGTTTCTACCAGCTTTCATTTCACTTATCTAAACAAGATTCTTTTATTTTTCTCTTTATAAAAGATCAGGACACAATTTTTTGAATAGATCTGCTTAATTCTGAACTCTTTTTTACAGCTGAATCAGCCAATTTATTGTCATGAATATTTATATGAGCAGGAACTCAATGTAGATGAATTATCAGTTTTGATGTTCTTCTCTTTTGAATTTTCAAAACAGAGTTTAAAATCAGTTCAAGATTCATTTGATCATTATGAATCTGACTCTTTCTAAGTCTTTTTAAAGCAGCTTGACTATCAGAGAATATTCATGTCTCTTTCAAACTATTTCCTCTTTTATGAGATTTTATTTCAATGAGTTTGAAAGCTTTCACTATTGTAAATAGTTCAGCATCAAAGACTTCAGATTCACAGCCTAAATTTCAGAAATCTGAGATAAAATTGATATTATCTTCAGTATAAGCAATGCCTGCGCCTAATCTATTCAAATTCTCATTTTTTGAGTCATCTGAGTAAATCAGAATAGAGTCTTTTATATTGATTATAGAGATCTTCTTCAAATGCTGTTCATATTCTCTTTCTTTAGATAGTTCACTTATTTATAAGTCTATGAGAGATTTCAGCTTTTCTCTTCAGAGAGATATCTTCTCATGATCAATTTTCTCAACATTTAATGTAGAAAATTGATTCTTAATAAGTGAACATAGTCTATACAGTTGAGAGGGCATTTTATTTAAAGCATTATTCACATTTCAATCAAGAAATCTATTTCAATTCAGTTCATTTCCTGAGTTAACTGATGAAAATGAAGAAGAGACTCTTTTCTGATTATATAATTTACACTCATCTTCATGACTCTCAGAGTATAGTTTATACAGGCCTTTTCAAATTGAATAGCAGAAGGTGAAATTGAAGCTTCAATTTCCATTGCTTTAATAGAAGATGATTTGAATACTCTCAGAATTCTTCTCAAAGCTCTGTTTTATAGACTTTGAAAGAGTTCAGTGAAGTTACCTTGATTGTTTCATCAAACTTGAACTTCATAATCAGCTACTGAGGTAATAGAATATCAATAGTGTATATATTGAATAAAGATAATATTACTATGCAATACTGTAGTCATTTCTATATATCTCTGAAAGCTATTAATAGTTTCTTTGTCTCTTTATATTTGATAAGTTAATAATATATTCTGATACACTTTCCCTTTCATCATTATCATCATTATTATTATTATCATCATCATCACTATCATCATCATCATTATTATTATTATTATTACTATTATATCATTGCTAGCTGTCTTCTCTGTCTTCACTCTCTCTTAACACTTATTAAAATCAATTATATCATTCTTCTTTAAATATTCTGCAGTCCTGCGGATCATCAAGGTATATAAGCATCATCACAGATTGAAGAGAGAGAAGAAGAAGGTGTTTAAGTATAGAGAGATAGATTGTAAGATATATTATAATGCCTTGAAGAGACTCTGTAAGAAAGTAGAATGATAATGATTTTAAGTAACACTTCTGATAGATTTAGACTGAACTAAGTATAGAAATAATACAGATGACACTGCTTATAAGAGATTGAAAAAGAAGACAGTGAAGAGTCTTATACAGTAGTGATAAGACTAGAAGAAGTTCTGAGAATGATTTAAGATTGAGATGAAGAGAGAGAGAAAGAAGAAAAGTATTATTATAAATAAGCAGTGACAGAAGAAGATTAAGAAGATATTAAAGTAGAAGATAAAGAAGTCAAAACTGATAAATTTTTTATTAAGAGATAATGATTTTTGATAACACTTCTGTTCTCTAATTGATTAGCAGGAGCTGACAGAGAACAAGGAAATTGAGGCCTTGTTCAGATCTTAAATATGCTTCATGATTCAAAATATTAAGAAGATAGCTCTGCTCTCTGAGCATGTCAATCTGCTTACTGCTGAAGTGAAATCTGAGACAGCAGATCAGAAAATGCAGGATTTTAAGATACAGATTGATCTGACTGAGAGAGAGCAGCAGAAACTCTTCTCTGAGAACATAGCAGAGAGAGATTTTGAGATGATTATTATCTCAGATAAGAAGAAGAAGAAGAAGAATAAGAATAAGAAATGAATTATAAAGAATAATAAGAAGAATGACAAAGAGAAGAAAGATAATAAGTAGAAAAAGTTTTTTTCTTTTTATATTAATTAGTTATAAGTTCATAACTATTAGTTAATAATTAAAATTAATTTTGAGTTTTCAAAAATTATTGTATAAATTGTAATCAATTATCAATATCAGAAATAATATATATATATATATTCAACTATTATGTTACTATAATATATAAGTATCAACATTTTTTCAATATTGATATTTATAATATTAATATATTTTTAATGATATTATCTGATAATATAATTTGATAACACTCTCTTTCATAATATTAATATATTTCAAGAAATATGACAGAGATTAATCAAGATTATTTATTTACTTTTATATATTAATAATATTCAATCTGAGTTAGTACTAAAATTATAACTAAGCTAAGAAAGAAGATTATTTTCTCTTATATTCATTCTTCTTATATATATCAGTAATCAGTTATTGAAAATAAATTATTATCTTTCTTAAATTATTATTATATCTTCTAAATTCACTTCTTTCACTTCTTTTACTTCTATTAAAGATTCATAAACTCTTCAAGAAATCACTATGAATTATAAAGTCTATGTTATTTATAATTTAACACAGAATGCTCTCTTTTAATTATGATAAATAATCACTTCATTCTTCATATCTGATTCCAGGTCATGAAATTTATAGAAAACTTAACACAAATATCAAGATGAACTATGAAATAATTATTAATAGATTGTATTATAGATTACTGAAGAGTCATCTCTCTGCTGTAATTACTATAACTTCATTCAGAAATATTCATTATAAACTGATTATAACTCTGAAGAAATTTTCTGACATCTGAAGTTATCAGAATGCAGACAATAAAAGAAAAGTAATCAGAAAATTACTACTGAGCTGATAAGTTACTCTATCAGATAATAATTTTTAATAATACTCACTTTCTAATTTGAAGAAAATCATGTGATAATAATTATATATCAGTACTCTGATTTCATAACTCTTATCTGATAACTTCTGTGAATAATTACTTTATATATATATATCTCTGAATCTTTCTCTTCAATTAATTGAAAATCCTGAATTCTGAACACTTCTTCAAATACTTAATTCAAATCTTTATATTTTATATCAATTCTGTCTTCAGTCTAACCTTGAGATATACTACAAAGTTAATATGCAATATCTAGAATCAGAGTTGAAGAATTATCAAAGAGTGTCTCTCACAGTGAATGTATAATCTAGTACAAATAATGTTACATTTATAAGAGTTATATGTTATTATATTGATAAGAACTGAACATATCAAGAGACATTAATTGAATTTAAATCATTGATCAGTAGTCATACTGAGAATTATATAACAGAGATATTAATGACTATGATTAAAAATAACTATTAAGATATTAGTCTCAGTCTTCTTATAATTATAACTGATAATGCTGTGAATAACTATACTATGATAAAGAGCTTGAAGCAAAAATTGACTTTGTATTTCTGAAATAATAAACAAGGTCATATTCTCTGCATTGCTCATATGATTCAACTTGTAATATAAACACTAATAAAGAATCTTAACATTGAGATGAAGAATAATGAGATGACTGATTCTTGAGATAAGAATAAAATAAAAGTGATTACTTAAGTAACTTTTATATTCATTTTATAAAAGATAATGTTTTTTAATACTACTTTTTAATATTGTTTTTTAATAACACTTTTTACTAATGCTACTGTTAATTTTGAATAGATTGACTAATAATTTAAATATCACAGATTTGAAATATTACTAATGTAATTTGTATCTTCTCTAAATAATAATAATAATTCTATAATATTCAATAAATAAATAAATCAGTTATATCACTGAATATGATACAGAATGTTAGAACATGGTGAAGTTCAATATATAAGATAACTATTCAGACTCTTCAACTGTATCAGATGATTGATTATTAAGTATAACACTCTAATTGAGAAAAGATTCAGATATTGAAACTTTCTGATATGAAGTGAACTCAGTTGAAATATATGATTGATTTACTGTTTCAGTTTTATAAGATAATAAAGACAGTTTCAATTACTTATACATCAATGCTGCAGTCAGTCTGATGAGTGTATAACAGTGTATTTACTCATCTTAAGAAGCAGTTGAATCACTTAAAAAGAAATTCAGTCTGAGATAATACTATAGCATAGACTATTATTACTGTAAGAAATAAACTGATATATTACTACAGTAAAACTGAATAATTATTTACAGAGTACTATGCTGTAGCAGCTCTACTAGATCTCTCTTATCAAGTTAATATCTACACTTCTCAAGATTGAACAGAGAAGAAATAAGACTTGTATATTAAATTAGCTCAAGACTACTACAATGTCAACTATCAGAGATTTAAATAAGCAGATGTTAAAGATGTGAAGACAGTGAAATACAATTCTCTAGTAAGTAACAATCTTTGATAACACTTTATATTATATAGAACTATAATACTAACTTTGAAACAGAACTTACATATACTAATTACAACTGAAAATCAGGCAAAACTATATACTTATAAAACTGAATTTGACTGCTATCTTCAAGATGATTCAATAAATTTATACATCAAATCAATTCTAGAGCTATAAAAAATTATTAAGAGTATATATTTAACTGTTGTACTAATAATACATGATATTCTGATAATTTCATTAACAGAGATGAAAATGAAGTGAAAGATCAACTCAAACTGAGATATTTATCACTATTATCAGAGACAATTACAAGAAGAAACAATCAAGAAACTCATGATTGTAAAATATGAAATTATCAGACAGTTAAATACCTCTGATTACAGTATATCAGAGAAGTGTAGTTTTCATGAGAAAGTAAAGAATAAACATGTATAAGAATGTATTTAGTTATTTTATAAGTGTTATCAATAATCATTATCAAATTCTGATTATATAAGCAATCACTGAATGAACTGAATAAGACTGAATTTGATCTTCAGTCTCAGTTTCATTCTGATTTTGAAAGAATGATTATCTTTCACAGTTTATTCTGAGAAATTACTTTCATTTTACTGTTCTTGAATTAAATCTGGTCATTTTTCACATCATTTCTCTCAGAAATGATTCATTTTCAGATTTTTTTGAGACTTGATTCTGGTGGGACTCACTTCAAGAAATGTATGAGACCAGATCAAATGAGACTAAATGTGAAATTCATGGTCCCGGCAGCCAGTCTAATCAGAGAAAGAGTCTCTTCTTTATTTTTATCAACTAACTCTGAAAATGAACTGAATTGAAATAGATTTCTTGATTGAAATGAAAATAATTCCTCAAAGAAAATGTCTTCTCAACTGTACAGACTATACTCACTGATTAAAAATCAATTTTATTCTTTAAATGTTGAAAAAGTTGATCATGAGAAGATATCTCTCTGAAGAGAAAAGCTTGAATCTCTTATAGACTTACAAATAAGTTAACTATCTAAAGAGAAAGAATATGAACAGTATTTAAAGAGAATTTCTACAATTAATATAAAAGACTCTATTCTGATTTATTCAGATAACTCAAAAAATAAGAATTTGAATAGATTAGGCACAGACATTGCTTATACTGAAGATAATATTAATTTTATCTCAGATTTCTGAAATTTAGGCTGTGAATCTGAAGTCTATGATACTGAACTATTTACAATAGTGAAAGCTTTCAAACTCATTGAAATAAAATCTTATAAAAGAGAAAATAGTTTGAAAGAGACATGAATATTTTCTAATAGTTAAGCTGCTTTAAAAAGACTTAGAAATAGTCAGTTTTATAATAATTAAATGAATCTTGAACTGATCTTAAACTCTGTTTTGAAATTCAAAAGAGAGAAATATTGAAGCTGATAATTCATCTACACTGAGTTTCTACTCATATGAATATTCACGATAATGAATTGGCTGATTTAGCTGTATAAAAGAGTTCAGAATTAAGCAGATCTATTCAAAAAATTATGTTCTGATCTTTTATAAAGAGAAAATAAAGGAACTTGTTTAGATAAGTGAAATGAAAGCTGGCAGAAACAAAAGAAGAGTATACATTATTCAAGATTTGAAATAAAACCTAAGTGAAAATCTTGTTCAATTAAATATAAAAAGAAAATATTTTCATCTATAATACAGCTGAAACTAGAACATGGCTATTTCAAATCTTACATACAAAGATTTAATGATAGATTTGATTCAATAGAATACTCATTCTGCAATGCAAATGAGAATTCTGAGTATATTATAATACACTGTGCATTATATAATAGTCTGAGAGTCAGATTGAAAGAGAAGTATGATTTAAATCAATTAAATATGAGATTCTTATTCTCAACTGAGACAGGAATTAAATACTTAATAGACTTTCTATCAGAAACTCAAGCAGCTACAAGAAAATGACTGAATTCAGAAATATCTGAATATGAAGAGGAGAAAATTAATCAGATATAGTCTGTCAAAACAGCTATATACTATCTTTTAATAATTTGTTTTATTACAGTCTCTCTTTACTTTACTTTTTTCTTTCTATTCTTTTCTATCTATCTATTTAATGTGTCTATCTTTAAGCCTGTGTTCTCTTTTCTTTTGTCATAATATTGTCAAATGATTTCAAAGTATCAGAAGATGTTAAAATACTGTATTTTATAAACAGTTTTTATACTCTGAGCTGGAATTTTCTGATTTTGCATATCTGAAATTGATGAATGTATAATAGTTAACTTTATAGATGTAGGAAAAACTCTGATAACTAAAAGTTCTCAGGTAGATGTCATAGTCTCTGACTGCATACATCTATAATTGAAGAATAATAATAATAATAATAATAAGTCAAACAGCTGCTTCTTCAGAGATGATCTCAGAAACTCAGAAGTCTGTTCAGATAATGAAGACTCTTGCTTATATATAGATATTTAAATCTACTCAATTTATAGCATCTGTATTATTATTTGATACAGATAT